AGCCCCAAGGAGCACGACCACCCCTGCTGGCAGCCTCTGAGGCCTGGGCCATCCCTGCCAGCCCCCTGGCTGGACAGGGGGCACCAAGGAAGGGGCATCCCCATCTCCGAGGGCTCCGGGTTCCCAGGGACTGCAGAGAACTGGGCAGCCATGTGACGAGGGACAGGAGAGCAGGGCCACGCTGGGACCCAGCAGTGGGGGGTGCCGACATTTCTTTTATGTCCCTGCAATTCTGACACCTTAATAACAATAATAAAGCCATTTATTGGGCAATTGCTGCGTGCCAGGCCTGGCGCAAAGTGCATTAGCCGGCATCACCGCACTCGGCCCTCACGGCCACCCTAGGAGGCAGGTCCCGTTGCCATCCCCACTCCAAGGGCAAGGACGCGGGGGGCTGCAAGGTCACCTGCCTCTGAGCACTTACCACAGTTTGCAATTACGCATTTATTCTCCTACCGTGTCATTCATCTCTGTCTCCCCTGCTGGACTAAAACTCGGAGGAGGGGGCGGTTTTGATTTCTGTCCGGCACTATTCACTCAGCCGACTCAGGCGTCCAATAGACAGCAATCTGTTGAATGGGTGAATTAAACCCCGTAACTGGCACGAGGTCCCCCAGCTGCTGAATGGCAGGAAGGGGCTGAAAACCCAGGCAGGCTGGCTCCAGAGCCATGCCATTGTGCGGTCCACCCTGCAGAGAGGCCCTGCACAGCACTGCCCAGCTCCCTGTCTCCAAACCCCAGAGGACAGGGATGGAGAGGCCCCGGCACAGGCAGGGGGCACTCTGAGCAGCCAGACTTAAGGAGAGCAGCTTGCAGCTTGGCCAACACCCACACGCTCCCCTCCCAAGCTCTCTCCTGCCCTTGCTGAGCCCTCAAACCTTTAGCGTGAGCTTCTCAAATGATACAAAATGTCATCACTTAATAAAACTACAAAGCATTTGCACCCATATAATATAGCAAAGCCCTGGGAGGCAGTGGGTGTCACTCTCCCCACCCGCCATGTGACACGCATGCCGCCAGGTTCACTCACTCAGTCCTCACTGCCACCCTGCAAAGCTGTCACCCTCCCCTGTCACAGAAGGGGACTGGGTCACAGGGAGGATGGAGGGCAGCACTGGGGCCCTCCCACCAGCCACTGAGGACCCAGCAATAAGCCAGGGCACCTGTACTGGAGACTGAGTCCTACCAGGAAGCAAGCCCCTGCACAGCACGAGTGCCCCACAGGAGGCCGAGCCCCCTGGTAGACGTGGCTTCCGAACGGCCCGCTGAGCCCTCTCACTACAGCCACCATCCAACCATTATCTGGAATTCCAAAGAGGCTCCCAGACAATCCGCCTGGGTGCCCTGGTCAGTCTCCCTTGGGCATGACCACCCAGACCTGTCGAATGGCGCCTCCCGACTCAGGGTGCTGAGCTGGGAGAAGACGTGGTACCCCCGGGCGTCTGTAGCAGGCAGGGAGCTAGGGCAGTGGGCAGGCTGGCCAGGAGGCAAAGGGACACATGGAAGAAGGCAGCAGAGCGGGCCCATGGCCTGGTGAGCAACGGAATACAGCTGGGCCTGGGGCAAAACGGAAGCCAGCAGGCCAGCCAGGGGCCCCTCACCTCATCCCCACCCTCAGGCCCCCTTCTCTCTGCACCCTGCACCCAGGACAGGGCTCTGGGGCCAACCTAGAACACCGCTGCCCAGAGTGCAAAGGAGGAGCAGTGTCCATCCATACCTGCCCTCTCACCGCACTCTCCTGAACACTCTGAACCAAACTGAAAGTCAAGGTTGGGGAGTGGAAGAAAAGACAGTTAACAGTGGCCGTGGCTGGGTCCCTCTGAGCCTGAAACCTGCAAAGAGACAAGCTTCCAGGCCTCCTCCACACACCCCTGAACCTCGCTTGGTATTTTAATTGCTCCATGGCAGGGAATCACTCAGCACCTCTTCCCCACGCAGCCCACCAGCCGCACAGCCGCACTGGCTCCGTCAGTGTCCTCGGCAGCTCTGGGACCTGCCTGCACAGCCTCTTCCTGGAAGGCCCTGCAGCAAACCACTGACAATTTCTTCCCCCTTCCAGGAGCAGACCCGGACACAGAGGTGTGGACTCTGTGATCACAACGTCGCTGGGGCCTCGTGGGCTGCCGTGGAGCTGCCCAGAGGATACCGGGCAACAGCACAGCTGCAGTCTATAAAAATTTCACAGCCTCAGAAGAGGCTGGCGGCGCGGGCTCTGACACTGCACGGCACATATTGATCAGAGAGAGCATTTGCCAAAGTTATTTTGCGTCCACCCAGGCCCTCCCCAAGGTCTGTTCGGAGGGTGTTCTTTTCCTCCTCAAATGGCTCTTGCGCAGCCTGCCTGTTGGCAAGGCGGGCCCCCTCTGCTTCCTATGTCCTTTCCCAGGCTGAGAAGTTTTGCCCAGCAAAGGTCAGGCTCACCCTAAGATAACTCGCCCCTGTATTCCAACCCTTAAGTCCCCACAGAAAAAAAAAATCCAGGTAGAGAAAGGCCTTTTTAACTCTTTCCAACCTTCCCAACCTCAAGCCCAATCCCATCCCACTAGACACAGCGTGTCTCAGGCCCCGGGCGGAGCTGGTCCTTGGACCAGCAGGCCAGGCACACTCACGCCTGCAGGCCTTTTGCTCCTGTGTTTCCTCTGTCTGGTGGCCTGCCCTCTCTGCTCGACAAAACCCAACCCAACCATTGCTGGGTCCCAAAGTGCCCTGATAAAAAGGCTCATTGTCTGAGAAGTCCCTTTGCCCCCAAAGAGGGCTTCTCATCCCAATGTTCCTGCTGACAGCCCCGTCACACCGTGGGCCTGGCCCTAACTGAAAGCTTACAGTGAGGCGTGCCCTGCCAGGTCCTCTCCACTACACATCCCTGAGGGCAGGGACGCCCTCACTCTCCGCTCGAGCTCTAGCACCAGGGTGGTTCCTGGCTCTGCAAAGATTTGCTGGATTAAATTGTGAGACTCCTCCCCGTGACCCTTCCATGAGGATGGCTCTCACTGAGTAAGCATCATAATGTGCCAGGCAGGCACTTCCCACACATGACCTTCAGCCCTCACAAGAATCAGAGACCTTATGCATCAGAAGCTGCATTTTCTTCACAGAAAGCAGCTAAAACACAGAGAAGTTAAGTAACTTGGGCAAGGTCACACAGCAAATAACTGATTGAGCTGGGGCTCCCATCTAGGCAGTAGGAGCCCCAACTCTTTCCTCTGCACCAGGAAATTCAACATCTCTTTTAATCACAAAAAAGATCAAGAGGTCATGAAAGTCAAAACAGATACTCTTTTCAACACTAAAAATGAGAGCGAGCAAGGCATGAGATGACTTCAAGATTCAGATCCAACAGCAAAGGAGAGGGGCTGATGCGTCTCAGCCTGAGGCTGCTACCAGGGCAACAGCAGCAGGAGAAATGCCCCATGGACACGGCCAAGGAACAGAGGGTAGGTCCGGAGGGAGCAGGTGTGGAGGGTGACCCTGCAACCTCAGGGGCCTCCTGGATAGATTTCTGACTCTCAGTCCCTCCCCAGGGCCACACAAAATAACACACAGGTGCCCTAAGCAGACACAGTTTGGTCCCTCCTACCCCACACCGGTGTCTTTCCCCAGCCCCCACACACACCCTCACACACTCACTGATTCCACTTAGATTGCGTCTAGATTGCAAATTCTCTGAAAGCTCCACGGGAATTTTTCAGTCTCAGCGAAGAAGAGTCTGTGGTACAGTGTGCTCACTAATTGCTGACCTCAGTACGGACTCTGATCCAGGAGACAGCTCTCCCCGGGGTCCGGTTTCTGCCTCTGATCGGCTAGTAGGCATGAAAAATGTGCCCGAAAGTTATCGAGATATGTTCGCCTTTCCCGGGAGCCCCTGCAGTTGCCCAGGACTGGGGGGAGGAGTGTAGGCAGGTGTCAAAGGAGCCAGCAGCCTTCTCCAAAGTCCAGTTCAAAAATCTCCCGAGACCGTCACCTCTGCAAGCAGCACAAAGGCCCTGCATGTGACCAAAATCTACACACACGGCCACGTACAGGGACTCTCACACGGAGGTGACACCACTACACCAGGAACTCACACAGATACACATTCTGCGGGGAATCTGGGAAAACAAATTATATAGGTTTGTAAACACACACGCATGCTAACCATCCACACACACACTCACCCTACAAATCTCAGCGGGTCTAGAAAGAATTCAGAAGTGAGAGAGGGGAAGAGAAACAGTGTTTTGTGACGTGTCATGGTCAATGTCTTCAGCCTCACGTCTCCCACTCCAAGCCCCTGACCTCTCGGCATGACTCCCGGGGCTCTTGGTCCGGGTTGCACCTAGCCCGCTCTGTGTGCTGAATGTAACACACCCGGAGCCTCAAGCCCAAATCCCTGGGGTCCCATTGTCTGCCAGTGATGGAGATCGCTGGGCATGAGGTGGGGGGCCAACACCGGACACCTGCAAGGGAAGGGTTCTGAAGGCTCTGGGGCAAACAATGGGGAGAAAGGGAAAGATGAAAAATTTCAACTCCATCCCATCTTGCCACCCATCGCCAGCCTGCTGGCCCTCAGAGCCCACATCCATGCACCCCACTCAGAACACAGCTCAAGCACACATGCCCAAAAGGAGGCACGATTCCTGACAGAGTGAGGAGCTTCCCTCCTGGGTGCCAGGAAGGCTTTCTGGCACCAATCTGCAGCCACCCTGGAGGAATAAAGTGCTGGCGCTGGGGGGAGCGCCTGCCAGTGCCACGCACAGGGTGCAGGTGTGAGGACGCAAGCTGACAGCCCGCCAGGGCCCTTTGAATCCTAGAGAAGGAAAACAGGGGCTCTCCTGGCTCCTGGCTCCTGGCTCCTGGCTCCTGGCTCCTGGCTCCAGAAGGACCTTGGCAGGCACTGGCTCGCCTACTGGCTGCAGAGCCCATATCCAATGGTCCTGCCCCGACCAGCAGCCCTGAATTGCGTCTGGGTGGGAGAGCAACGTCGGGGCTCCCTGTGGGCTAGGGATGGGTGCAATACTCACAGGCGCTCCGTGTTCCGTGGGATGTTCTTGGGAATGGCCTGCAGCCCCGTGCCGTGGCAATCCACTGTGGTACCGGTGCAGGTGCAGAGGGCAGGGCACGCTGTGGCACCCAGGCGCCACGCGGCTGCCCACAGCAGCAGCCAGAGCTCCGGCCGGAGGAGCCCTACTGAGGACCCCCTCCAGGGCATCAGCGCCATGGTGCCTTTACAATGTCCCTCCAGCGCGCCAGACGCTGACCATCCCAGTTCGGGGTGGCCTCCAGGTGCAGTCCCGGGGCAAAGCCACCGAAGAGACCGCTGGCTAGTGCGCTGCGCCCTTGCGGGCTGGGAGGCACCTTGCTCCTCCAAGCAACGGCGCCTGTGCAGAGGGCTCTCGGCTCCTCTCCGGTTTCTCGCTTGCTGCGTCTCCTTCCCTCCCTCCAGCTCCCAACAGACGACTGCTGAGAGGAGGAAAATGGGCAGGCCCGCGCGCTCACGCACCCCGCGCGCGCACACATACACACAGTCACACAGTCTCACACCCGCACGCTCGCTCCCACCCAGCAGTCATCCATCAATCGAAAAACCACACATCAGGGCCAGACTCCTCCCCGCCCTCCCCCCCCCCAACACCCCCTCCCGCCCCGCCTCCCTGCACTCCGCGGCTGCCGCCAGCGGCGTACAGTTTCAAAGGTGGAATCTGCAAGGCGCTGCGCGAGCGGGCAGGGGGCTGCGAGGGGTGGCAGGGTGGGGCGGAGTGGGGGTGGGACGTGGTTCACGGTTTGACCGGGCGGCTCTGACACTCACTGGCTATACACCCACACACACCATACGCCCTGAGGATGAGCACACTTAGATGCGAGTGCCCGGCACCCACCGCCCCAGCTGCTGTCCCAGAGCAGGAAGAGGGTCTTATTTTGCTGCCTGGACCCCATCCCCTGGGCCACAGACCCAAGCTTTCCTCAACGGCAGAAACTGCTCCCAGGCCGGGTCGGACTTGCTTTGTCAATTCACAGGGAAAAGAAGCTCCGCACCCCCGATGGCCATCTGCAAGCCACCACCTTACTTAGAGCGATACTTGAGGGCAGAGTCTGGGGGGGGAAGGGTGGGGGTGTGGGTGGGGGGGTCACAGAGGGTGGTTGGGCTCAGAAGCCCTAGGCCACGTAGTGTTTCCTCCCCTCCCTCAACACAGTCATATTCTCCGCCGAGGTGGCCCCACTTCTCCAAGAGGGACAGCAGCTAGCTGCACCTGGAATGAGAATGCCCAGGGGGTTATGCTGGCTCCCCAGGGGGTAGGGAGCCGGTATCAGTGGGAAGCGGAAATCTGTCTTATACCTCCCTCTGGCCACACCCGCATCCCTCCATTTCTGACAGATAAAAACCCACATTCAGAGCTGTCTCCAAAGGACTGCAGAGAGGCCCGGGACAGGAGGGGCCGGGACAGCCTGCCTGGGAAGGAAGCACCGCAGGACCCCCTGGCAGGCCCCAGGCCCTGCGCTCCCTTTGGGCAGGGACTGTGCTCAATCTGAGGCAGGTGCGAGCATGGGTGTGAACAGAAAATCCAGGTGGGGAGAGAATTATCCTCCAGTCAGAAGAGATCCGGACCTCCCAAAATCAAGGACAGCTGTGGCTTCCTGGTACTGCAAGGACCCAGGTATCTCTTGCCGGTGGGTCAGCACCCTGAGTCCAGGCTGACTGGCAAGGAGAGACAGTTGAACGGCTCAAGAAGCCCCTCCCCTCACAGGAGTCTGCTTCCTGGGTTTCTCCTGGGGAGAAGCCAAGGAGAAAGGCAGCTGGTCCCAGAGGCGCCAGGGACGCCCACGGCTTGCCTGGGGTGGGTGGCCCCACACTGATGGCTCCGCAAGACGGAAGCCTCATCGCCCTCCGGGTACAGGCCCAGGGTTTTTCTCTTCCGTTCTGATGAAAACTTTGCAGCGCCTCTATTGTCATAGCACACACTGTGTGGCCACCATGTCACGACTAACGTGGCTGATTCTGTGGGCTCTGGGCAGTGCTTTTGAAAGTTTCACACACTCCTGCCCATGACCTCTATCCAGGGCCATCCGTTCTTAAGCATCAATTCAGTGACAACTGGGGGGGTGGGGGAGGGACTTTCTCAGGGGTCTCTGTGTGGTGTGATCCTAGAGAACCTGTCCACGAATCCGGCCAGAGCTCCAGCCTCCTCTCCGCTCTTCCCCTCGAATTCCTGCTAGGGGCGCTCAGGCCCCCCTCCCCTCCCCAGCTGCCTCAGGCAAGTTGCATCCTCATTCCTTGGAGCTTGCTGCTTTGTTTATCCCCTCTTAGCTGGGGCTCTGTTTACACTGTGGCTCTTTCCCTGACACCCCTCCTGGGGCCAAGCCTGCCCCCAACACACGGCTTCCTCACTTAGGCACTGAACCCAGCACCTGGCACTTAGTAGGCCTGTCACAGACGGAGCTCAGACTGCTGAAGATGGCTGGTCTCCAACCTTCTGCTCCAGTAGTGGGTGCCTCCCTGGCCCTGTGACCTCAGACGGCTCCCTGAAGCCAGGACCCATGTGGGGAAGCGGAACGTGTTGATTAACCTGGCAATGTGCCCTGGGGGGTGCAGAGAGGCAGGGTGAAGTGGTGCGCGGGGAGGTGGAAGGGGGCAGGGGGCTGCATGATCGGCCCTGCCTTTGGCTCCTTGAGAGCCAGCCACTGCCCTAGAAGCTTCCAGATGAGCATGGACAGTGAATCCCAAGTGGGCCTTAAGCCAAGCTGTCAGCGCCTAGCAAGGCCTGGCCTTTGAAAGGAGGGAAGGAAGGGAAGCCCCTCAAACCCAGGACAAGGGCTCCCTGCACCAGCGCATCACGGGAAGGCCCTGCCCCAGCAGCCAGGCAGCTCCTCAGTCTGGCTCCCATCTCCAGCTCCTCCACCCCAGAACCTGGCCAGTTCCCCAATCTGGGAGGCAGCTTGCCATGAATGAATGCAGCTCATTAGCGTTCCCAGCACATTCTACTCGATAAACAACCGCCTGGCCAGCCGCACACCCCAGCCTCCCCCCACCCCTGCCCCTCCTTGTTCAGTTTGCTCTCCCGGGCCCCTCCCTCTGCTGGGTCTCCCTACCCCCTCCCTGTGGCCGGGCCACCTGCTCCCTCTGCCCGGGTGGGGAAGAGGCAGGCCTGTCACACTGCATCTGCCAGGAGTGTTCCACCCAGCCCCACTCTCCCACTGGCCACCAGCAAGCAAGCCCCCAGAAGGACACTTGGGGCTGGGTCTCTCCATCCAGCGGTATGAGCCTCCTCCGAGTTCCCTCAGCCAGGCGCTGTGGACCACTGCCTGCCTGGGACTAGGGGAACCTGTGCCCTCCATCCAGCTTTCTGCCCAGGGTCCTCTCCTCCTCCTCCTCCCCCCACCCCTTCTGAAGGACCAAGAACGCATAGAGCCCGAGTGAGACTGCAGAGCAGTGTGGTTTAGATTTCCAAACTGCAAAAGGTAAGAATGAGACAAAACGCCTGCTCTCTGAGCATTTGTTAAACACCATTCATTGAGTGTGTGTGTATTATGTACACTGTGCTGGGACTCAGCAACTTGACAAGGAATAAAAACAGACCTGGCCCACAGCGAGCTCATAGTCCCACAGGGAAACAGAAAAAAGAAAGCCACCAACACAATTAGTTTGGTAACAGGGAGTGTAAACTTGCAGAGAACCCAGAATGTGGGGCTCAGGGTAGGGCCGGAAGGCTTCCTGGAAGAGGAGACACTTGAGCTGAGTCTTGAAGAATGAACAGGCATGGGTTGGATAGCAAAACAGAAAGGTTTTCTGGGCAGAGAACTGTATGAGGTAAGGTACACAGGCGGCGGCAGCATCCTCAGTGGCTGAGGTCAGCAAGGCAGGGGTTCAGGTGGGCAGTGTCGGCGGAGGTCAGAGAGGTGACAAGGGCACATCCCAGAGGTCTGGTGCAGCCGTTCTCCGACTTCACTGGACTCGCAGAGTCCCCTGGCTTGTCCCTGCACTCCAGCGCACACCTGCATGTGTGTGTGCTTACAATGCACTGTCCCCAGAACCAATGACAGTGGCAGCTTCCGAGGAAGGGACTGGGTGGGGGCAGGGGCCAGTTGCAGCACATGCTTTTCTCCAACTGTTTGGATTTCTTTTCCTGTATAGTATGACCTCAGCCCCCATAACCACCAATACATTTTTAAATATCCCCTGGAGTGCTTATTATAAATGCCAATTCCTAGGACGCACCCAAGACCTTCTTAATCAGAATTTTCACAGTTAGCAAGTTGGAAGTGAGGTTGGTTTCAGAGATCACGCTCTGAGAATCAAGGCCTAGTATACTGAGTTAATGAGTTTCAACTTGAACCTGAAAACTCTGAGGAGCCATTGAAAGAAGGGGCCTGGCAGGGTCTGAGGCCTGCCTGCCTCCCTCTCCTCCAATTTCCACATACTGTTAGCAAGCAGGAGACACATCAAAGAGAAAGATAGCCACAGGGGAGGGGGGGTGAAGGGGAGGGGACAGAGCCATGTGACACCGGTGCAGAGTAGCTCCAGTCACAAGATGTTAGGGCTGAAAGGGGATGAAGAAATAACCAAATCCAAACACCACCCTTCAGTGGTGGCCCATGGAAGTGAAGCAAGCTGCCCACACAGCAAAGGAGGTACCGAGGCGAGCCATGAGTGAGCCTGGATCTCACACACCCCTGGGTACACACAGCATCTGATCCACCGTGGACCTACCCCCCCTCCCCCCGCCATAGGGCCTGAGAAACCAGGAGTCATTGGGAGGCTGTGCCAGCAAGACCCAGGATAATTTAGGGTTACTCTCTAAACCCCATGATGTACTCAAATTTGAAGAAGGATGGACCACTTGAGACTCAATGACAGGGTTCCACCACATGCACCCAGGACAACTCTGGCAGAGGAGCAGCACTGGGAGCAAGAGAGAAGCAAAGCGGGGAGAGGAAGAGGGGAGAGGAAATGGAAGGGAGAAAGCGGGGCCAGAGAGTCCGTGCGGGCAGCCGTTCGCTCGCTCATTCGCTCACTCATCAAACGTCGATCACGTGCCAGCTGTCGCCGGGCTTTGGGGATAGTAGAGACTTTTGCTTGGGCTTCGCTGGGCTTCCTGTATCTTATTCATAGTTGTCATCAAATCTGGGAAGTTTTCAACCATTATTTCTTCAAAACTTTTTACGTCCCCTCCTCTCTTTTCTCTCCTTTGGGGACCCACTAACACATATATTAGGCCACTTGAAGTTGTCCCACAGCTCACTGATTTTCATCTTGTTTCTCTGTTTCATCCTGATGAGTTTCTGTGGATGTGTTTTCACATTCATTTTCTTTTCTTCTGCTGTTTTCCCACCCAGTGCAATTTTCATCTCAGACACAGTGGTCTCCATCTCTACAACATCCACTTAGGTCTTTTTCTTCCATGTATCTTCTTAAGTGCTTATGTTTCTTTTTATTTTCTCATCCATATGGAATATAGCTGTAATAACTAGATCTATGAATTCTATTGTCTGGATCACGTCTGGGTCAGCTTTGAGGGATTGCCTTTTTCCTTCATTATGG